CGGTGTTTGCCATCGGGGATGGGTTTTCGTCGCTTGGCAACGACGTTGTAAAACGAGCCAAATCACTTCGTGAACTCGGCAAACAGGTCACCGGTTGTTTTTTTTACCTCTTTTTTTTTTTGTGGCGGTAACCATAATAGTGGTGAAGTAGATCATGTTGTGCGGGGTGGACAACCCTCACTCCGCGCATCGTGAACTCGGCAACCAGGTCAACGTTTTTTTTTTTTTTACCTCCGTTTTTTTTTTTTGCCGGTAACCATAATGGTGGTCGAGTAGATCATGTTGTGCAGGGTCGAGAACCCTCACTCTGCGCAAGGGGAATGATCGCACCACGTTGTGTTAAAATGGTTACGCATCCTAGAGGCAGTTACACAGTGCTTACAACTGTCTCTGGAAATGAAAGCACCAGAAAGTAAATTAAGTCACACGCAGCTGTCATCCGTACGCAAGGAAGTAAGCACAAGATGCCGAACACCCTTAGCAGGATGCAGCGCACCCTTCATGCGACTCGCCGAATATCTCACGGCGCTTCGCGCTTGGTGATGTGAGAGCCTGGTCCGGTGAGAACCCGGCGTGCTCCGTCCCGGCTTTGTAGGGATGCGAGGTCAATGGTCTAACGACTACGGCATGCACGACTATGAGTACACACACACACACACACACCCCTGCTTGCAAGTATTATTGTTGACAATGTACATCTGTCAGCTATACCAAGAACTATACTGCTGCACAGGGGGAGAGCATTCCCTCCATTCCTCGACGGAACAGTATTACCCTCCTCTCACACTTCAATATTATTTCGCTGCTGATCGGTGACCTCTAGGTCGAGTCGCCGGGACCTCCGCTGCAACATGCGACATCGTTCAAAGCGTTTTCTCGGGCCCTCATGGCGTTCACAACGGGTCGAAGCTTTGACGGAGAAGGCAGAGAAATATCCCGCTAGCCATGTCTCACAGAATTTTATTTTTGTTATGGTGCTATGATATGGTTGTTGCTCTTGCTGGTGCATGAGGGCGCCTGGCGCGGGATGAGAGCCATTTGTTTTCTGTGTCTGCAAGGGCGTTTGGAATCTGTCGCTGCTGCCTCTTGGCTTCGTCCGCGCCGTTTGTTGTCCGTGCGAATTGTGGCTTGTGGGGGNTCGCATCCCTACATAGCCGGGACGGAGCACGCCGGGTTCTCACCGGACCAGGCTCTCACATCACCAAGCGCGAAGCGCCGTGAGGTATTCGGCGAGTCGCATGAAGGGTGCGCTGCATCCTGCTAAGGGTGTTCGGCATCTGTGCTTACTTCCTCGCATCCGGATGACAGCTGCGTATGAATTAATTTAATTTCTGGTGCTTTCACTTCCAGAGACAGTTGTAAGCACTGTGTAACTGCCTCGAGGGTGCTTGACCATGTTAACACAACGTGGTGCGATCATTCCCCTTGCGCGGAGTGAGGGTTCTCGACCCCGCACAACATGATCTACTCGACCACCATTATGGTTACCGGCAAAATAAAACAGAGGTAAAAAAAAAAAAACGGTGACGTGGTTGCCCAGTTCACGAAGTGAATTGGCTTGTTTTGCAGCGTCGTTGCTATGCGACGAAAACCCAACCCCGATGGCAAACATCGGGGCCGGGGCGGGGGGGGGGTTCTGTGTTTCGTGTTGGGAGAGACAGTCGTTTCTACCTCTGCGTTTGGACAACACTGCTGCCGCTACGTGTAGCTGTTGTCTCCGGCTGAGCGGTGTTTCCTCACAACAAAGGTAGTTGGTTGCGGGGGTTGTTGGTCGTCTCCATAATCGACGTCGCTGACAGTCATGGGCGAGGGCATGCTGTTGTCGGGGGACATTCAATATACAGAACGACGTTCGGAAGGGTATGTGTGTATTCTTTCAAATTTGAAGTACCTTTCATGGTTCTCGCTTACATGTAATCGTGCAACTTGGGATGTTGACCCTAGGTAGAGATGATAAGCCGCGGGCGGAGATGGGTTAAGACAAGAGCTGCTGGCAATGTCTATGATGCATGGGCACGGGATGTCATTGTTTCAGAGGGTTGCTCGGGAATTTGCCGACGGTAAAATTATAGTGATTCGAATACAGGGGCGAAAAAACAAATGAAACATAACAAAAAACAACGTACTGCAAGGGAATTGAACCCACCACTTACTACAATACAGACAGTGTTGAGCACTGCAGGTTGTTGTAGACCGGCCGCATCGTGCGCAATCTATGAAAGAGGGTACGCAATGCATTACCATCGGCAACCTGCCCCCTCATCGGCTTGTGCGCAACGCGTCAACCTGCAGGAAAGGGTACACGTTGCACTGTTACCGGCAACCTGCCCCCCCAACCGGCTTGTGCGAGGCGCGCCAACTTCCAAAAAGGGTACACCTTGCGCTGACATCGGCAGCCTACCCGCTGTCCAGCTTGTAAGCAGTGCACCAACCACAAGAAGTGGTACGCCTTGCACCGCCATCGACAGCTTAACCCCTATCCGGCTTGTTAGCAGCGCACCAACCACCAAGAAAGGGTACACCTTGCGCTGACATCGGCAGCCTACCCGCTGTCCAGCTTGTAAGCAGTGCACCAACCACAAGAAGTGGTACGCCTTGCACCGCCATCGACAGCTTAACCCCTATCCGGCTTGTTAGCAGCGCACCAACCACCAAGAAAGGGTACACCTTGCGCTGACATCGGCAGCCTACCCGCTGTCCAGCTTGTAAGCAGTGCACCAACCACAAGAAGTGGTACGCCTTGCACCGCCATCGACAGCTTAACCCCTATCCGGCTTGTTAGCAGCGCACCAACCACCAAGAAAGGGTACACCTTGCGCCGCCATCGGCAGTCCGCCCCGTGTCCAGCTTGTTGGCAATGCACAACCACCGAGGAAGGGTACACCTTGCACTACCATCGGCAACCTGCTCCCTGTCCGACTTGTAAACAACTCGCAACCTCCAAGAAAGGTATACCTTACACAACCTGGGCGTCGTTGCATTGCGAGGATTACCCAAGGTGGGGAGGTTGCAACTCGTGCCAAAATAACCTCGATTCAGGTTTTGGCAAAAGTGCCCCTACAACCCGGTCTGTTGGCCACCCGTGTTGCATCATGTGTTTCACCCTGTCTGGACCAGTCTGGGACCGTAGAATTTGGGCTCGGTCGTGGTACTATTCGGTTTCCTTCTTTTCTCTCCCTCTTTGTGCCTCCGTGTCTTATGGTTGCGGTCGTTTTTCCTTCTCTTCCTGGTTTCCCCCTTGGATTTATATCTTCTTCGCGGTTCGTTGTGGAATCTACGCCGCGGTGCAGTAGGGTGCTTACCACTGTTTCTCTCTGAGCGTCGGGTTGTGCATTTTCTTGTAGACACTCTTCTTCTTGCTGCCGTTTACGTCTTGTGGCGGGACAAACGTGGTTTTTCCCCCATTTGCAACAGGACATCGTCCCGCGCTTTCGATTACTCGTACCGTAGAAGACCCATAGTCTAGAATAATAATACTTGATTCCATTTGCGATTCCAATTGGCCTTCTGCCTTCTTGTCGGGTGCTGCCGGTCACAGTGCCACATTGTAGTATTTGATCCGTGCGGGGTGTGTCCGCGGCAGGAAGACATTCTGTACATTAGTATACGTATCACGGGATTTTGGCCATCGCTTTCGAATTCTTTTTAGGATTGACGTGCTGTTGCAACCCGTCTCGCGATAAAAGAAATAGAAGCATGCCGCTTCCGAAGTGCAGAAGAATCTGTGATATCAAACATTCACTGCTTAGACTACAAGTCTTCTTGCGAACACTTTCGTTTAGAGCGCATGGCGCTGAGGGCGCAGGTTGTGACGCGGTCTTTCGTTTATTTCTTAGACCATGCATACCGTTTTTTTCGTTCTTGGTACCGTATGAAGCAATGCCGTATCGATCGTCGACATTGAAACCGCGTGAATGGACAATTTCATCTTCCTTACATTACCTCGCCACATATATATCGACTCCGTCCAGACATTCCCCCGTCCTGCGACGGGAGTCTGGCCACCCGCCCCATTGTCGGGGGGGGGGGGGTCAATCGTTCCCCCTAGTTCGATACACTCGTCGGATAGTGACGGATGATATCTTGGGTAACACTGTAGACACTCTACGGAGGAACGGGCGGCAAGTTTATTTGTATGTTCCTTGGGAGTGTTACGGAATGCTGGAGGTGCCTGAAGTTCAGGGGTTCGCGTGTATCTGGCATGCTAGAAGTAGAACCTTTTCAGACGTTGTTAATCGCGCCTCCGTCTGATTCCGGACAACACGTTGTTGCCGTTTTTTGTATCGCACTCTGACCCACGATACAACAGTGTGTGTACAGCGAGAAGAGTGCTTCGGAAGGGTGGACGTACTGAACCGACGCTACAGCAACGATCAGCACCGGCAAACCATGTATCTACGCTTGTGCTGGTGACAAGAACGGATATTACCCACATCTTCCGCTCCCCGTACACCCTGGATTGTCCAAAAGGAAACAGCGGTTCTACATAAATCATCGAAGAATCCGCTCAAACATGACTTTGTTCGATGTGTCTGTCAAACTTGTAAATGTTCCTGGCAAAAAAAAACAGAATCCACGCAAGATCCACAAACGAGTTCTTGTAGAGACGCAGATGATCGTTTCGAAGGTGCGCACCCAGCTCAATCTCCGAAACCGTGCTAACTGTAGACGATGCGTACATAATCACATGCAAAACCTGCCGGTAGATTCCCGACACGTCCCCTGCTGCAACAGACTGGCACGTAATCAAAACACGCCTGCGGATGCGGGCTCGAACCCTTCCATTGGAACCAATCACACTCCGTCTTGGCCATGAGGGTCGTTCTTCTCTCATGTCTTGCTTTTCACGCCACCGGCCCCGCCAGGAGCATGGCCGCCCTTCGCTCACTCCTTCTTGTTGGCGCTGGTTTTGCCACCGGGCGTCAAACTCAGGTTCTTGTACTTAGATTTGCCGGTGGCAGAAGGCGCAGCTTCCGTAGCAGCAGGTGTCGATTTCCGCCCAGCATCAGTGGAAGCGGCCACGCTCGTCGTCGCCGCATTCGTCCCCTCATCGCCGGCATCCGGTTCCAGGTACTTCGGCAATCTCCTTGGCTTCTTATCGATCACCCAGCTAGCCGTTGGTCTGACTTTCCCGTGCTTTCCCCACCCCGCCGGTGGTGCATCTCCAAAGTCGGCTTGCGGAAGGCCTAGAAACTTTCGAGTCTCTTCGGTGAGGCCGCGCCCGCTGAACTCGGGGTTCTCGGCGCGAAGATAGGCTGGTCTTTCGTCTGCGGGTCGATTATCCTTGCGTATGTTCTTCTGCCGTGACCGTGTCTTCTTGCGCGAGCGGTGCTCGTCCATTCTCCCGCTTCTTCCCCCCGCGTCTTTGGCTTGGTCGACGTTTTCGGCGGTATCGGCGGCAGCACCCGCAGACTTGGAGCGTGCCTTCCTCCACCCCCGCCGCTGTTTCTTAGATTCCCCCGGCTCCGCTGTTTCTGTACCTTTCCCGCCGCCTCCTGCTTCAGCTTCCGCTGCCGTCATCGGAGAAGTTTCCTCCACAACGGTTGCGAATTTTTTGTCTGGCGTCGCTGCGGTTACAGTAGCAGAAGCAGCGGCAGCAGCAGGAGCAGCAGCTGCGTCTGCTTCCACAGTGGCGACCTCCGGCGCTGCAGACTTCTTTTTTCGCCTGGCTTTTCGTTTCCCACCCGGCTTCTCGCCGTCGTCAACCGCATCACCCGCACAACTTCCGCCGCTATTTCCGTTCCCACTCCCAACAACTGCTTCCACCGCCCCGTTCTTCTTTCTCGACTTCGTATCCTCCGCCGCAGTGGCCGCAGGATCTGCTGGTGCTGGTGCTGGCGCTGTGCGATTTCGCTCCTCTTGTTGTTCAGCCCTCTTCTTTTTATTTTTGAAAGACGCCGTTTTGCTCTCTCCGTCTCCCTCCTTGTCGTCGTCGACCACGCCGTGCGTGTCCATCTCGCCTGCGATGGCATCGCTCAGCTCCTGGCGCTGCCGTTTCCGAAGCATCTTCTTCTCCAAAGCGCTCGGTTCAGGCTGTGCGATGCGACAGCAGGAGGCGCACCCGAATGGGTTGGATGGGTGAGAATATCGGGTGCGATCATAGACGGTGTCACGGCTTTCAATCATCTCCAACAGCGGCCGAAAATCAAGCATACACGTATCCGTAATAAGCAAAGAGATGGCACCGCCCCCCTGCACCGATTGCAGCTGAGCCATGGAGCTGCATGAAATACCATTATACAACCAAGACTATGTGCCGACAAAGGGCCAATAGTGTTCAAACACGTGTTCACGCACATCTGGTGGGCCGGAGGGAAAGAGATTCGAGCACGATGATGTTTCGCCAAAAAAAATCGACGACTTGACATCGTTGCTGTACATGGACAGACAGACAGGCGGGCACACATTTGGCCACACATCAACCCCCTTGCCGCAATTGCACTGAAGTAAGTATCAAGGGCCATGAAGGCTCTGCCTCGCATGGTTTGTGTGAGGCATCAGGCCGGAATACTCCTGCCCTCGACCATGAGTCGCACACCCATTAGCAACGACAGCCACATGCAGCACTCGAGCTGGCGCCCGGGGACACATTGGACTGTCTGTGTACAAAGCATCGAAAGTGTCATGCGTAGGTTCGAAGAGTCTGCCTGAGACACATGGGATGACGTTGTCGGCGTTTGTCTCGAACAACCCAGCGTAATCAGCGGCAGCTTCAAATTCGGTATTTTGACAGGTTTGGCGTCCAGGGGTGGTGCCAGGAACGCTGCTCTACGTCTGAAGGTCTTGTTGCTATGTAAATCTGATAAATGATACACAGGTCAACACATCTGGTGAAAGTGCTGAGGATTGGACCGAGATTCAACATTCCCAGGAAACCCCTTTACAACGTTGTACTTCACCCAAAGTATTTGCAAGTAGGACTCGATTTGCCCTACTTTCGTTTCTTTTGTAGAGGCGTGTGTAAATCGTCAAAGACGTGTGTATATCGTCAAAGGCACCTACAGTACTACTCCTTCGGGGGATCTGTGAGCTTTGAGAGAAACACGCCTCAGAACGCGTGTGTGCCATGAAGCACAAACACTGCGTCTGCAAGGGATCCTACAGTGTTGGGAGTTTGGATTGCGTAGATTGCGCCGCATATTCTTGTTTGTCGGGTACACGAAACCCAAATTTAGCAACGCCTGAGAATTTTTCCATAAAATGACTGGAATTTACAACGGAGGACACCCTTGCGCAGAAGGAGACCGGGCACATCGCCACAGAGCAGGGCCAACCAAGGAAGAGACTTGACGGGTGCAACTTTATGGTGATGCCATAGGATGTCATCCACTTGGGGGGTCGCGATTCGACCCTCCCCAATAGAGATTTGTGTCGCCAAATATCATATGGAAAGTGAAGCACGTGAGATTCTACGTAGAACGCAGAAGTTCAAATATCCCGCCACCACGCGACACCGCAACAGGCCCACACTCTCTGTGAAAGATGAAACCCGCGATGGGCAAATCTCTGAATTTCTCCATCCAAAGACCTCCAACCGGAGTTCTGGCGGGGGATCTAGAAAGCCCACAACCTTCTTGTATCATCAGTATTTCTCAGTCCAAACCGGCCTCTCCAATACGGCCACGCCGTCACGTACACAGGGTTCAGACCGGTTGAAGCTCTGGAGTAGGTCGGCCGTCGGGGCGCTGGAACACACCCGCACCGACAAACGGAGCCGTGAAACCACCTCTAATACCACTGGGGTTCATGTACAGGCACGCGTCGTGCTTTTTCGATGACCATGTTGAACTGTGTGGACTACAGAAACGCGTTGTGGAAGGTCTGCTCTGACCGGTGGTTGTGGGGGGGCGGCTGCGTAGAAGGTATCCCCGCTTGTGAAGAGGGACGCCTGATTATACAAAACTACACTTTTGAACCAAAGAAGTCGCACGCAGCCAGCATCCACACGTTCTTCAAACCAAACGATAGCTGATCACCACCGCTACTCGTCCCGGTTTTCACTAATCCAAACGGTGGCCTACAGCGTTCTCGAGATCGATACCCAGAGCAAAAAAAAAGGCGGCGCAATCTAGTCTAGACTACACAAATTGATATGTGCGGATGTACAAGGACCTCGTGTCCAGTCAAGATCGAGCAAAAAATATCAAATGGGCTGCAGCACGCCGGGTAGCGGAAACCTATCTTTGTCCGCAAAAAAACAGCAACCGAGGTATGTTGATAAGGAGCAACACTTGTGCAACAGGAATCATTACCATTCGATTTGAACGGACAAGATGGCGGCTTGCGTGCGCAGAACAAGCAGCGCTCTATCATGTGTCCTGTGATCCCAATGACGATGATGATGCGGAAAAACGACAATAATTTTGCAACCAAACCTGAAACTGAGACATACCCGGTCCTGCTTGGGCTTCTTTGGGTGGGCACCCACTCCCAATCTTCGATTAGGGTTAGTCTTTCGCGGGTCCTCCCTCCTGGGCTCGACCTCCGCAGCAGCAGCCGCGGCAGCGCTGGTGTCGCCTCCGTCCACCACCCAGTCTTGAACAAACGACAGGGAGCCAGCGTCGAATACCACATCATCGACATCCTCCGCCACACCTTTGGCTTGGCTGGGAGGAACATGGCGTGCAGGTACGTCCCCTCGGTTGGTGGTCCTCATCACCCAGCCCTTGTCTGACCATGCGCGTGGGTAGCAAGCACGTGTCCGTGGCAGTCGCGTGCTGGTTGTAGTGTTGGCTGTTGGTTGGTGTGCTGCATTTACGTGGCAGCTCCGTGGAATCGGAGGAGTTCAATAGACTACATTGTGGCGTTGTGAGCTTGTTGCAGGGGATCGGGGATCGAGTAGACACCTCGGCCGAGGGCCTTTTTCCTTTTTCTGCCCCACGAAAACAACACAATCACACAGCTCCCAGGCCTCCCAGCTGTCCCTAGCTTCTCCGATGTAGTACAGGCAATGTTCTTGCTGTCTGGAATGTAGTCTAAGCGTCAATCGACAGAACTGGCTCCAGGCATGTGCCGTTTGGGAGGAAAATCCGTTACATTGTTTTTTTCGTCAGATCAACAGATCATTTGTTTCCTGCAATAACAACAAGTTAGACCGCACTTTGTTATTGCAACCGGCGTACGTAGCTAGGCCATTGAAACCGCGTGTACAGCCATTTGAAGGCGTTTCAGGAAGTATATACAATATTGTACGTATGTGACAAGCGGTACAATAACAAAGGCGTCTGAGCAACACGGGAGGCACTCACCGGGTCAACCCCCCCCAGTCCCGGACTACAGTAATTTGTACTGCTGTAAAGATCCGGACCCTCCGTACCTTGCGTTCGCCCTGTCGCACTCCTCCTACCCACACAACACCCATCTGCTCGCGGCCCCACATCAGAAACCGCGGGCGGATCGCATGTACAATAAGGTGCCCCTGGGGTTGCCTCGTCACCCACATCCTGGATTGGCTCAGGAAGGCCAGCGCCCGCATCTACGTAGACCATTAATAGTAGTACAACCGGTTTAGAGGAGGAGCAAGAGGTGGGTGCCATCGCTGCTACACTGCAGACCTAGCAGAGAAACCTGGGTGTGTACAACCATGCAATCCGTGGGCATGACCCGAGGTGCTTGTCTGTTTACCCGACCAATATGTGTATGATGGTTGCAACGCGACCTCACCATGTGTCCCATGTTCAAGGCCGAGGGCTTCCCTTTCTTTCCCAGGCTTCCTCGCTTCCACGCACTTTCACCTTTCATTTCCGCGGCCTTGCGGCTGCTATACCACACCAGTCGCAGGCTTAGTGCTTTGATCCCCCCCCCCGCTTGGCAACGACGTTGTAACACAAGCCAATTCACTTCGTGAACTCGGCAACCAGGTCACCGGTTTTTTTTTACCTCTGTTTTATTTTGCCGGTAACCATAATGGTGGTCGAGTAGATCATGTTGTGCGGGGTCGAGAACCCTCACTCCGCGCAAGGGGGGTGATCGCACCACGTTGTGTTAAAATGGTCAAGCACCCTCGAGGCAGCTACACAGTAGTGCTTACAACTGCCTCTGGAAGTGAAAGCACCAGAAAATAAATTAAGTCACACGCAGCTGTCATCCGTACGCAAGGAAGTAAGCACAAGATGTCGAACACCCTTTGCAGGATGCAGCGCACCCTTCATGCGACTCGCCGAATACCTCACCGCGTTTCGCGCTTGGTGATGTGAGAGCCTGGTCCGGTGAGAACCCGGCGTGCTCCGTCCCGGCTTTGTAGGGATGCGAGGTCAATGGTCTAACGACTACGGCATGCACGACTATGAGTACACCCCCCCCCCCCCGGTGTTTGCCTATCGGGATTGGGTTTTCGTCGCTTGGCAACGACGTTGTAAAACAAGCCAATTCACTTCGTGAACTCGGCAACCAGGTTACCGTTTTTTTTTTTTTCCTCCGTTTATTTTTTTTGGGCGGTAACCATAATGATGGTTGAGTAGATCATGTTGTGCGGGGTGAACCCTCACTCCGCGCAAGGGGGATGATCGCACCACGTTGTGTTAAAATGGTCAAGCACCCTCGAGGCAGCTACACAGTGCTTACAACTGTCTCTGGAAGTGAAAGCACCAGAAAATAAATTAATTCATACGCAGCTGTCATCCGTACGCAAGGAAGTAAGCACAAGATGCCGAACACCCTTAGCAGGATGCAGCGCACCCTTCATGCGACTCGCCGAATATCTCACGGCGCTTCGCGCTTGGTGATGTGAGAGCCTGGTCCGGTGAGAACCCGGCGTGCTCCGTCCCGGCTTTGTAGGGATGCGAGGTCAATGGTCTAACGACTACGGCATGCACGACTATGAGTACACGCCCCCCCCTCTAGATTATATGTGAGTACCTCCACGCGCATGTCAACTCGCGGATGATTCCTGAAAAAAATAGCTGAAATATACGATGTACGTTCGTACATGCGTACGTCAGTGTTTCTTGAGACTGAAAATGAGCAAGAGACGCAACGAGACACGTGTTTGTAGACTTCTACATTCTACAATACAATAGATTAGTAGGTGCAGAACCTTTCATCGAAACTGCATGTGGCAGCGAGGGGACATACTTCGCGAAAGCATTGACAAGGTTGCTACAACGCCTACTGCTACATACATGTAGACTAATATTAAACGCGTTGCAACAAAGTAAAGGGTAACGACAACAACAGAAGCAAACAGACAGCCAAATACCGCCGTGCCGAGAGTCTCCTGTTGCAAAAATAATTTCGGCGTTTCGCTGCTCCAGCATGTGTGCGCCTTTGTATTCAATGTCAGTAGTGTTGAGGGTTTGAGCGTGACTAACGACCCCCTTAACCCTCCACCAAGTGTACCCGTTCAGGGAGCTCATCGACACCGGCAAGACGGAGGCCGTGCTGGGGAGGTCGATGGGGCAGTCATCCCTCCGCATCACACAGGCAAGAGGTTGGTAATGATAGACCCTCGTGCCCGCCGCACTAGAGTTCACCAATACAAGCAGCTTGCCTGCCTCATGCGGGAAGATGACTGCCCTAACCTCCCCGGTATGGCCTCCGTCTTGCCGGCGTCGACAAACTTCGTGGGGGGCTGCCCCCACCCCCACGATGGCCGGATGCGATCTGCGGCGATGTTCTCCATGGTCGCCTTGCCCTGGATAGTCGTCGGGAAGTGGTGGGTAGAACTCTTCGTCGTTGTGTGGGTAGGCATCGGTGTCCTTCCCGTAGACGACCCCTCTCACAAAGTGCATGAACCCATCATGGCCGCGGTCGCTGAACTTGATGATTTCTTGTCCTTAACTAAGGTGGAAAACGCGGTGGAGTCATCGAGGTCCACATTGGTCGCAAGGTCAGGCTTCGACGAGTATTTATAGCGTATGTCCTTGGATTTTTGACGACCCAGACGGTTCCAGCCCCTTCCACGAAGCTAATTTGCGCTGCGTATCAGCAACAGAGCGCATTTCTTCACCTGACACTGCTGTTACATCTCCTACAAACAAAAAAGCAAGAAATGCATCAAATAATGCCCCTCCTCCCGACTCTGTCCCTTTCCCTTTCTCCAAGGGTGAGGCAAGGGCCAAGGCAAACGATTCTCTCGACAAGGAGGTCCAATAAGAGCGGATGGAATGTATCCTACAGGAGACCATGCAACGAGGTCTCCTCTAGGCCGTGCCTTTCCCTACCGGAGAACGGCATGTTCAACCCAAACCCAGCTTGGAGACCAAAGAGTCCGGATACGCTGAAGAGGACTGCTTCGCAAGCCGGTAAGGACCTCCTTACCGTCTCGTGGAGCAGTCCCTCAAAGTCTCCGTGCTCTGCGGCCAACTGGCAGGGTTGGGGTCCAGTATCCCGTCCTCAAGGACAAATACCATGCCCCGGTGGTGCCAGGAAGCCGTTCGATCCACTCAACCTGGAGAACCTTGTCAAGAAATCCCTTGGTCTAGGTCATCGCAGCATCCCGGGAGGCGGAGTGGGAGGAAAGTGCACTTTTCCTTTCTATTGTCGAGAGAGGTGACAGTGTTGGGCGGAACATCTACAAAGTACTGCGCTGCCGTGTTGCCGTTGCCGTGGATGGCCCTTTCGTCTCCGTGTTGCAAAAACAACAAAATAGCAGCAAGGATGCACCTCACTACGTGCCAGAACCTTATTAAATCAGACACACCGACACCCCACAATAACCAACTCTTGAACCGATCCAGATTGGTGTACTTTTCAGCAAGCGAACAGCATGGATACATCACAGACAGTTGAACGTGGTTCTGGGGGAAATTCTTGCTTTATACGTTACATGTGAACATGGTGAATGAGCATCCGAAAACAAAGAGCTATGGATGAACCTCGAAACAACCGCCAGGCAGGCTGGATCGGGGACTGACTGGACAAAGCGAATAAAACTCGGGATTCATAATAAATGACTTCTCCGACAATATGTATAGGAGCTTGGTCAAACAAAGTGGTGAAAAGTGACACGAGCTTTTTTCCTTCTTTGAGCGAGCTGATACTCGATATGTCTGATCATCAAATAAGGTGGAAAACGCACGTGGCAGCATCATCAAGGATTACGTTGACCATGATGCCAAGTTCGAGCGTTTGTCACCTCTGCCCTTCGACTGTCGATGACACGGACAGGCCCAGCCCCCGTCCACACTGCTGATCTGCGCCACAAACTAGCAACAGAGGGCATTTTGTCCACCTGACACAGTTTCCTCTCTCGAAAAAAAAGCACAGATGAATTGTCAAAGAACCCCCTCCCCCTCATATTGCGACCTGCGCCCCTCCCGTTCGCCCAGGGTGCGGCCGGGGTCGAGGATTGTCCAGAACTTCCTGGCTCCACCGGGACAATAAGCGTCAAGGGGCTGCTCCAGGTCGTGTGGCGCATGCTTTGGGGTGCTCAACCCAATCCCTGCCATGAGGCCGCAGAGTGCGGAGGTTTTGAGGCTTGAGGGGAACCCTGACTGAGGCCGTAAGGGTCTACGAGATCTACGAGGCAAGAAAGAAGGAGGTGAAAGAGGGTGCAAAGGAAGCTGCAGAGGTCTCGGACTCGGACCAAGGGTTCGAAAGAGTTCGTAAGGCAGATCGAGGCCGTACGTCCGAGGCGGGGAGGGATTGATGGATGAGGATTATAAATGCCCTAACCCTCAATCCCGCCCCCCCTTCGAATATACGTCGTGGATGTGTCGTTTGCCCTCCTTTGAATCTTTAGTCTGGTTCCGATGGCTCTGCAGCTTCCCCTGAATCCTCTTCCACTTGCTTTCCTTCTCCCTCGTG